ATTTCAGGTCCTGTTGAAGCTCATCCAGAGAATGCCAAGAGTGAAGCAGTATCAGAGCAAAAGGAGCTGCTTTGAAGAACCAGAATATAACACATATTTACACTTGGTTCATACGTTTTTACTACGAACATAATTCACATGAGTTCATTCATAGTTTTGATGCCTTCAGTGTCAATCTACAGTTTTGATAATCATGAAAATAGAGAACTCTTTGAATGAGAAGGGGTGTCCAAACTTTTGGTCTGTACTGTATATAGCATCATAAGCTACGTACGGTGAACTTCTTCAACACACTCACGGACAAAAACAAACTTCCTTCAAAGAGAAAACACAATCCCTGAACATTAAATAAATAATCTAAATATTTTCTTATGTCTCTAATAACGGTTCTAATAACAATGAAATATCATCCTGAAGCCAAGATCAGAGAGAGACTAGAGAGAGAAAGACCAAAGAGAAAGATCAGAGAGACCAGAGAGAGAGAGAGACCTGAGACTAGAGAGAGACCAGAGAGAGACCAGAGAGAGAGACCAGAGAGACCAAAGAGAAAGATCAGAGAGACTAGAGAGAGAGACCAGAGAGAGACCAGAGAGAGAGACCAAAGAGACCAGAGAGAGAGACCAGAGAGACCAAAGAGAAAGATCAGAGAGAGACCAGAGAGAGAGACCAGAGAGAGACCAGAGAGAGACCAGAGAGAGACCAGAGAGAGAGACCAGAGAGAGACCAGAGAGAGAGACCAAAGAGACCAGAGAGAGAGACCAGAGAGACCAAAGAGAAAGATCAGAGAGAGACCAGAGAGAGAGACCAGAGAGAGACCAGAGAGAGACCAGAGAGAGAGACCAGAGAGAGACCAGAGAGAGACCAGAGAGAGACCAGAGAGAGACCAGAGAGAGAGACCAAAGAGACCAGAGAGAGAGACCAAAGAGAAAGACCAGAGAGAGACCAGAGAGAGAGACCAGAGAGAGACCAGAGAGAGACCAGAGAGAGAGAGACCAGAGAGAGACCAGAGAGAGACAAGAGAGAGAGACCAGAGAGAGACCAGAGAGAGAGACCAGAGAGAGACCAGAGAGAGACCAGAGAGAGACCAGAGAGAGAGACCAGAGAGAGACCAGAGAGAGACCAGAGAGAGACCAGAGAGAGACACCAGAGAGAGACCAGAGAGAGAGACCAGAGAGAGACCAGAGAGAGAGACCAGAGAGAGACTAGAGAGAGACCAGAGAGAGAGACCAAAGAGACCAGAGAGAGAGACCAAAGAGAAAGATCAGAGAGAGACCAGAGAGAGAGACCAGAGAGAGACCAGAGAGAGACCAGAGAGAGACCAGAGAGAGAGACCAGAGAGAGACCAGAGAGACCAGAGAGAGACACCAGAGAGAGAGACCCGAGAGAGACCAGAGAGAGACCAGAGAGAGACCAGAGAAAGACCAGAGAGACTAGACATTACTTGTATAACATTACTAATACCAGTAACAAGTACTATACATTCTATTACATTGTTGAAGTAACTTGCTGAACACTTAAAACCTCCGCAGAAAGTCCCACTCTCTGGAATTGAACCGGGGACCCCCCTGCTGTGAGTGAAGAGTGCTAACCTCTGCTGTGTTTCCCCTGTCATTCCCTGATCCTCCGAGAGAGAGACACAGGTTTTGTTGTCGTAGCCGCCGCCTCACGGTCGGCCATTTTGTCCAAGAAACGATTAAAAATGAGCTCAGCGGCTGCTCTCCACTGACACATTAGGCCTTTAGTAGAAACACCCGGAATTAGAGATTGTTCTTTCTCTGAGGTGTTGCGTTCCCAAATTATTTTTAGGATTTATGAGGCTCTTGTTATGATTTCTGGCATTTCTTTGCTCAGACCTTTGCGGTTTAATGAGGCCAAGAGTGAAGCCAGAAACGAAAAATAGACAAATTAAATTGATCATTCTAAAAATAATCAGCAACAGTCCTTCAGGTCACAGCAGCAGAGACAGAGCTTGGTTCAGACCATTGTCTCTGCTCTGGTCCAAAGTAAAATGATAAATGCTTGATTTGCATGTTTCAGAAAGTTAGCATTCCTCCAGTGGATTTTCTCCTGATCCACTTGGTTCAAACCATGAATCCTCTCTGCTCTGGTCTGGACCAGTGTAAAACCATGAATCCTCTCTGCTCTGGTCTGGACCAGTGTAAAACCATGAATCCTCCCTGCTCTGGTCTGGACCAGTGTGAAACCATGAATCCTCTCTGCTCTGGTCTGGACCAGTGTAAAACCATGAATCCTCTCTGCTCTGGTCTGGACCAGTGTAAAACCATGAATCCTCTCTGCTCTGGTCTGGACCAGTGTAAAACCATGAATCCTCTCTGCTCTGGTCTGGACCAGTGTAAAACCATGAACACTGAACTGCAGCAACATCTCAGGCAGAAAAAAGCAATAAAAATAACAATTGTAAAACACAAAACAACTGTTTCAGAGACACTTTGGACTCGCTGCAGTTTCCAATGTTTGTCTATGCTAATAGCACAGTGGGGGCTTCAGGCATCGTGGGGTTAAGTGTCTTGCCCAAGGACACAACAACAGCAGACATCGGTGGGAGCAGTTGGAGTAGGCTCATGGGGGGATCGATCTGACCCCACACCTCTCTGACCCCACACCTCTCTGACCCCACACCTCTCTGACCCCACACCTCTCTGACCCCACACACTCTCTGACCCCACACCTCTCTGACCCTACACCTCTCTGACCCTACACCTCTCTGACCCCACACCTCTCTGACCCCACACCTCTCTGACCCCACACCTCTCTGACCCCACACCTCTCTGACCCCACACCTCTCTGACCCCACACCTCTCTGACCCCACACCTCTCTGACCCCACACCTCTCTGACCCCACACACTCTCTGACCCCACACCTCTCTGACCCCACACCTCTCTGACCCCACACACTCTCTGACCCCACACCTCTCTGACCCTACACCTCTCTGACCCTACACCTCTCTGACCCCACACCTCTCTGACCCCACACCTCTCTGACCCCACACCTCTCTGACCCCACACACTCTCTGACCCCACACCTCTCTGACCCCACACCTCTCTGACCCCACACCTCTCTGACCCCACACCTCTCTGACCCCACACCTCTCTGACCCTACACCTCTCTGACCCCACACCTCTCTGACCCCACACCTCTCTGACCCCACACCTCTCTGACCCCACACCTCTCTGACCCTACACCTCTCTGACCCTACACCTCTCTGACCCCACACCTCTCTGACCCCACACCTCTCTGACCCCACACACTCTCTGACCCCACACCTCTCTGACCCCACACCTCTCTGACCCCACACCTCTCTGACCCCACACCTCTCTGACCCCACACCTCTCTGACCCTACACCTCTCTGACCCCACACACTCTCTGACCCCACACCTCTCTGACCCCACACCTCTCTGACCCCACACCTCTCTGACCCCACACCTCTCTGACCCCACACCTCTCTGACCCCACACCTCTCTGACCCTACACCTCTCTGACCCTACACCTCTCTGACCCCACACCTCTCTGACCCCACACCTCTCTGACCCCACACACTCTCTGACCCCACACCTCTCTGACCCCACACACTCTCTGACCCCACACACTCTCTGACCCCACACACTCTCTGACCCCACACCTCTCTGACCCCACACCTCTCTGACCCCACACTCTCTGACCCCACACCTCTCTGACCCCACACACTCTCTGACCCCACACCTCTCTGACCCCACACCTCTCTGACCCTACAAACTCTCTGACCCCACACCTCTCTGACCCCACACACTCTCTGACCCTACACCTCTCTGACCCCACACCTCTCTGACCCCACAAACTCTCTGACCCCACACCTCTCTGACCCCACACACTCTCTGACCCTACACCTCTCTGACCCCACACACTCTGACGAATGTGCGCTAACACAGCCGGCTAACGTTCGCGCCGCTGTTTTCCGTTTAGCATCTCCGTCTGCACCAAAACAACCCCCCCCCCCCCCCCTCCTCCTCCTCCCCCCTCCCCCCTCCCTCCTCCCTCCCTCCTCCTCCTCCCCCTCCCCTCCTCTTCCCACACTCTTCATATCTGAGCACAGACTCCACTCCATCCATCACGCGCACTCACACCGTCGTTTGACCCCCGGAGCGCGTCCCGGGGCCCGCGGAGCATTAGCCACCTCCGCCCGGGCCTCCGCCGTCAGCTCCGTGATGGATGGAGCGCGGGGTGGGCGGCCTGCGGCTCCTCTGCCCCGCCGCCGCAGCCCCTGAGTCGGGTTTATGGTTTAAGACGGCGGGGGAGAGGAGCGGAGGGCGCATCTGTCAGACACGGCGGAGGGAGTTTATCACGCGCTAATGCTACAAGCGCCGGGAGCGACAGGCGTCTGTGCGAAGGCTGTGGAGAGAGGAGAGAGCGCTTCCCGGAGCCTCCACCTTCATCTCTCACACTAATGTTGGACTTTATACTTATTTCACTGAACAAACACAGGTGAGGAATGGCACAGGGAAAAAGGCCATTTATGACGTGTACAAAGTAGAAGGAAACTCAACACTTTTTTGCGCTTTGAGTGTGTGTGGTGAAAAGACCAGGAACCAGGAAGTACCATCACAGTAGTCCTGGAAGTCTCTCCATGCAGCCTTAAACTACATCTGTGACATGTTAGAGCCATATGAACTCTGAGGAGCACAGGGACTGGCCTCCTGCTGTGGACTCTGAGGAGCACAGGGACGTGGCCTCCTGCTGTGGACTCTGAGGAGCACAGGGACTGGCCTCCTGCTGTGGACTCTGAGGAGCACAGGGACTGGCCTCCTGCTGGTGACTCTGAGGAGCACAGGGACTGGCCTCCTGCTGGGACTCTGAGGAGCACAGGGACTGGCCTCCTGCTGGGACTCTGAGGAGCACAGGGACTGGCCTCCTGCTGGGACTCTGAGGAGCACAGGGACTGGTCTCCTGCTGGTGACTCTGAGGAGCACAGGGACTGGCCTCCTGCTGGGACTCTGAGGAGCACAGGGACTGGCCTCCTGCTGGGACTCTGAGGAGCACAGGGACTGGCCTCCTGCTGGTGGGTCTTGGTCCTGGTTCTTGTTTTGAGCCTGGTTTTGTCTTGGTCCTGGTCTTGGTCTTGAGTCTTGGTCCTGGTTCATGTTTTGAGCCTGGTCTTGGTTCTGGTCTTGGTCCTGGTTCTTGTTTTGAGCCTGGTCTTGGTCCTGGTTCTGGTCTTGAGCCTGGTCTTGGTCTTTACCCTGGTTTTGGTCTTGGTTCTTGTTTTGAGCCTGGTTCTGGTCTTGAGCCTGGTCTTGGTCTTTACCCTGGTTTTGGTCTTGGTTCTTGTTTTGATCCTGGTCTTGGTCCTGGTTCTTGTTTTGAGCCTGGTCTTGGTAATGGTCCTGGTTCTGGTCTTGGTCCTGGTTCTTGTTTTGAGCCTGGTCTTGGTCTTTACCCTGGTTTTGGTCTTGGTTCTTGTTTTGAGCCTGGTCTTGGTCTTGGTAATGGTCTTGGTCCTGGTCTTGAGCCTGGTCTTGGTCCTGGTTCTTGTTTTGAGCCTGGTCTTGGTCTTTACTCTGGTTTTGGTCTTAGTTCTTGTTTTGAGCCTGGTCTTGGTCTTTACTCTGGTTTTGGTCTTGGTTCTTGTTTTGAGCCTGGTCTTGGTCTTTACCCTGGTTTTGGTCTTGGTCCTGGTTCTTGTTTTGAGCCTGGTCTTGGTCTTGACCCTGGTCTTGGTTCTGGTCTTGGTCCTGGCCCTGGTCTTGACCCTGCTCTTGCTTCTACTTTTATCGTTATAACACTAATTTATTTTTATTTCATTTTTGTGTGTGATTGTTTCTTTGTTTTCTTCAGCACTTTTTACAAATCCACTCAGAAAGTTCAGACCAGTTCAGACCGGTCTCCAAACCCCGGAGCTTCTGACTGAGACCCCAGAGTGCTAACCACTCAGCCACTGCACAGGCCCAGGCCACAGTCTCTTTAACCATACACTGTAAAAATAACACACAGCAGTGAGAAAGTCCTTTTATTGGAGGATGAAAGTGCGTTTGACCCATGGTACAACGACAGTGTGCGACATCACATCCAGTGGAAGGAAAACTACTTTTATTTACACATGTTCACGTTCTGCAGTGTCCGTCGCTGCAGCTTCATTATCGTACAACTGTAAAATGCACGGAATAAACAGGAAATGATCAAATGTGAGGAAAGTATAACTTTGTTTTTATCTTAATCTGAGAAAATTCTGACTCAAAACAAGATTTGTCAAAGGGACAAAACTATTTAGACTAATTTCAGACCAGAGGGAGACCAGAGGGAGAGACCAGAGAGAGATACCAGAGAGACTAGAGGGAGACCAGAGGGAGACCAGAGAGAGAGACCAGAGAGGGAGACCAGAGGGAGACCAGAGAGAGAGACCAGAGAGAGAGACCAGAGAGAGAGACCAGAGAGAGAGACCAGAGAGACTAGAGGGAGACCAGAGGGAGACCAGAGGGAGAGACCAGAGAGAGATACCAGAGAGACTAGAGGGAGACCAGAGGGAGACCAGAGAGAGAGACCAGAGAGAGAGACCAGAGAGAGAGACCAGAGAGACTAGAGGGAGACCAGAGGGAGACCAGAGAGAGAGACCAGAGAGAGAGACCAGAGAGAGAGACCAGAGAGACTAGAGGGAGACCAGAGGGAGACCAGAGAGAGAGACCAGAGAGAGAGACCAGAGAGACTAGAGAGAGACCAGAGAGAGCCCTGAGGGAGAGACCAGAGATAGACCAGAGAGAGACCAGAGACCAGAGAGAGACCAGAGAGAGAGACCAGAGAGAGACCAGAGAGAGATCAGAGAGAGACTAGAGAGAGACTAGAGAGAGATCAGAGAGAGACCAGAGAGAGATCAGAGAGAGACTAGAGAGAGACCAGAGAGAGATCAGAGAGAGACCAGAGAGAGATCAGAGAGAGACCAGAGACAGAGACCAGAGTGAGACCAAAGTGAGACCAGAGAGAGACCAGAGTGAAACCAGAGAGAGACCAGAGTGAGACCAGAGTGAGACCAGAGAGAGACCAGAGTGAAACTAGAGAGAGACCAGAGAGAAAGACCAAAGAGAAAGACCAGAGTGAGACCAGAGTGAGACCAAGGTGCAATTTAAAGAACTGTTCCTTTATTTTCTCATTTCAAGGGAGACATTTCTTACATCTTTTTAAAACATCCATCATTTTGCTTTGTCCGTTGGAAAATCTTGTTTTTAGGCTCAGTCAGAATCTGCTCAAATGAAGTTACTCTTTGCCACATTGTAAGCAATTTTGTATTTGTTTTCGTCCCTTTTGTGTTTTTAAACTCGATTTCTTGCCAATAACTCTTTCATAACAACATCACGGACAGAGGTTGTCTTTGGACCAACGGCTGCGAGTGCGTTTGTTATTATTGCACGTGTTTTTGAACTGATCTGTTGTCGGGGAATCGGCAACTTTAGAAAAACAAAAAAACAAACTTCAGTTGAATCGAACGACTTCCCATGAGCTGCAGGGGCGTCTGAACTTTGGATCTCTTCAAAAACATTATCCACGGACGATGAAGACTACGACGTTGGTTTGGGTCAAGGATTGTCACAAATGTTATATTTTTCTATGGCTTCAAATCCTACTCTCCGTCGAGGACCTGTTGTTTGTGCTGAAGTGGAGCCACGAGAGGCTGGTATTTACGCATCTGTGCTTTAAGACCATGTTCCAGTAGAAAAAGATCATATATAGTATACGTTATAATAATAATAATAATAATACATCAAAACACATTTTTTACAGTAATAAGGCAAATATTACCATAGCAACCATCGAGTTGTGTGTTTGTCCGTGTCCAACAGCCCAACCCTACTCTACCCTACTGTACTCTACTGTACTCTACCCTACTGTACTCTACTCTACCCTCCCCAACTGTACTCTACTCTCCCCTGATTGGGAGTGTTTCCTCTGGTCCTGTCTAACCAGTACCAGGTCCTTCTTTAGTCCCTCTTGGTCCTGGTTCTATCCAGGCCGAGCTGGTACTAAAGTGTTCTGACTGACAGTGATTGGCCAGAGTGCTGCTGGAAGCCATGGTTACCCAGGAATTTCCCTTAATACTGGTTTGTCGTGGGTAGGTTTGCTAGGATAGTAGCGAGTAGAGTAGAGTAGAGTGGAGTAACCTAGGGTAGGTCGGGTGGAGTAGATGAGTAGAGTAGAGTAGAGTAGAGTAGAGTAGAGTAGAGTAGAGTAGAGTAGAGTAGAGTAGAGTAGAGTAGAGTAGAGTAGAGTAGAGTAGAGTAGAGCTAGACCCGGGACTGAGGCCGTAGACCCAGGACTTGAGCCTGTAGACCCAGGACTGAGGCTGTAGACCCAGGACTGAGGCTGTAGACCCAGGACTGAGGCTGTAGACCCAGGACTGAGGCTGTAGACCCAGGACTGAGGCTGTAGACCCAGGACTGAGACTGTAGACCCAGGACTGAGGCTGTAGACCCAGGACTGAGGCCATAGACCCGGGACTGAGGCCATAGACCCGGGACTGAGGCTGTAGACCCAGGACTGAGACTGTAGACCCAGGACTGAGGCTGTAGACCCAGGACTGAGTCTGTAGACCCAGGACTGAGACTGTAGACCCAGGACTGAGCCTGTAGACCCAGGACTGAGACTGTAGACCCAGGACTGAGGCTGTAGACCCAGGACTGAGGCTGTAGACCCAGGACTGAGGCTGTAGACCCAGGACTGAGGCTGTAGACCCAGGACTGAGGCTGTAGACCCAGGACTGAGGCTGTAGACCCAGGACTGAGGCTGTAGACCCAGGACTGGGACTGTAGACCCAGGACTGAGCCTATAGACCCAGGACTGAGGCTGTAGACCCAGGACTGAGGCTGTAGACCCAGGACTGAGCCTATAGACCCAGGACTGCGTTCAGGAACATGGATTTTTTTTTTATTTCCTTCAGTAAACAAAATAAAAAACAAGGTTCTCTTCCTTTGGTGACAAACAGAAAACAAACTGTTGAGATAACGAAGAGTTTGCCATAACGAGTGATAACAATCATTTGTTCCCATTTTTTTGGAGGAGAAATAAAAACATTTAAAGCAAGACATGGTAAAAAAACAAACAAACAGAACTTGAAGTGTGTTTTTATCATGATCCACTTTGGTAACGTCTCCCTCTTAGCTCAGATAAAGTCTGGTCCTCGGTCTGAACTGGACCCACCCGCTCCAGAACATGACACTGTTCTTCTCAAGTCTCTGCGTCACAAACATCTGAGTTGTTTTCACAGATCGTCCTTTCCTGGTGCTTCTTCTCGGAGACACTTTCCTCTAATGGTTTTCTTGGCAGATAAAAGGATAAATCTAAGTATATATTTATCTGCTGTTGTTTTAAGACTGTTTCAATATGTCTGTCCCACATCCACATGTATGAACCTGTGGCCAAAGGGCCCAGAGCAGATGATGATGATTGGCCGCCTGGCTGCCACAGGTGCCACAGGTGCCACAGGTGCCACAGGTGCCACAGCTGCCACAGCTGCCACAGGTGCCTTGTTTGGGCTGGGGTCGTGGAGAAACGTATCATATTTTTCCAGCCAAATTCTCTCAAAGTTGTCAAAATTTTTGTTTTCCTTTGTACTTATCAGAGTAGATCCCAGTACCATCAGCTGCATGTTCCTGAACACCTGGTACATCAGTACCATCAGCTGCATGTTCCTGAACACCTGGTACATCAGTACCATCAGCTGCATGTTCCTGAACACCTGGTACATCAGTACCATCAGCTGCATGTTCCTGAACACCTGGTACATCAGTACCATCAGCTGCATGTTCCTGAACACCTGGTACATCAGTACCATCAGCTCATGTTCCTGAACACCTGGTACATCAGTACCATCAGCTGCATGTTCCTGAACACCTGGTACATCAGTACCATCAGCTGCATGTTCCTGAACACCTGGTACATCAGTACCATCAGCTGCATGTTCCTGGTACACCTGGTACATCAGTACCATCAGCTGCATGTTGCTGAACACCTGGTACATCAGTACCATCAGCTGCATGTTCCTGAACACCTGGTACATCAGTACCATCAGCTGCATGTTCCTGAACACCTGGTACATCAGTACCATCAGCTGCATGTTCCTGAACACCTGGTACATCAGTACCATCAGCTGCATGTTCCTGGTACACCTGGTACATCAGTACCATCAGCTGCATGTTGCTGAACACCTGGTACATCAGTACCATCAGCTGCATGTTGCTGAACACCTGGTACATCAGTACCATCAGCTGCATGTTCCTGAACACCTGGTACATCAGTACCATCAGCTGCATGTTCCTGAACACCTGGTACATCAGTACCATCAGCTGCATGTTCCTGAACACCTGGTACATCAGTACCATCAGCTCATGTTCCTGGTACACCTGGTACATCAGTACCATCAGCTGCATGTTCCTGAACACCTGGTTCATCAGTACCATCAGCTCATGTTCCTGAACACCTGGTACATCAGTACCATCAGCTCATGTTCCTGAACACCTGGTACATCAGTACCATCAGCTGCATGTTCCTGAACACCTGGTACATCAGTACCATCAGCTGCATGTTCCTGAACACCTGGTACATCAGTACCATCAGCTGCATGTTCCTGAACACCTGGTACATCAGTACCATCAGCTGCATGTTCCTGGTACACCTGGTACATCAGTACCATCAGCTGCATGTTCCTGAACACCTGGTACATCAGTACCATCAGCTCATGTTCCTGAACACCTGGTACATCAGTACCATCAGCTCATGTTCCTGAACACCTGGTACATCAGTACCATCAGCTCATGTTCCTGAACACCTGGTACATCAGTACCATCAGCTCATGTTCCTGAACACCTGGTACATCAGTACCATCAGCTGCATGTTCCTGAACACCTGGTACATCAGTACCATCAGCTCATGTTCCTGAACACCTGGTACATCAGTACCATCAGCTGCATGTTCCTGAACACCTGGTACATCAGTACCATCAGCTGCATGTTCCTGAACACCTGGTACATCAGTACCATCAGCTGCATGTTCCTGAACACCTGGTACATCAGTACCATCAGCTGCATGTTCCTGAACACCTGGTACATCAGTACCATCAGCTGCATGTTCCTGAACACCTGGTACATCAGTACCATCAGCTGCATGTTCCTGAACACCTGGTACATCAGTACCATCAGCTCATGTTCCTGGTACACCTGGTACATCAGTACCATCAGCTGCATGTTCCTGAACACCTGGTACATCAGTACCATCAGCTCATGTTCCTGAACACCTGGTACATCAGTACCATCAGCTCATGTTCCTGAACACCTGGTACATCAGTACCATCAGCTGCATGTTCCTGAACACCTGGTACATCAGTACCATCAGCTGCATGTTCCTGAACACCTGGTTCATCAGTACCATCAGCTCATGTTCCTGAACACCTGGTACATCAGTACCATCAGCTGCATGTTCCTGAACACCTGGTACATCAGTACCATCAGCTGCATGTTCCTGAACACCTGGTACATCAGTACCATCAGCTGCATGTTCCTGGTACACCTGGTACATCAGTACCATCAGCTCATGTTCCTGAACACCTGGTACATCAGTACCATCAGCTTATGTTCCTGAACACCTGGTACATCAGTACCATCAGCTCATGTTCCTGAACACCTGGTACATCAGTACCATCAGCTCATGTTCCTGAACACCTGGTACATCAGTACCATCAGCTCATGTTCCTGAACACCTGGTACATCAGTACCATCAGCTCATGTTCCTGAACACCTGGTACATCAGTACCATCAGCTCATGTTCCTGAACACCTGGTACATCAGTACCATCAGCTCACGTTCCTGAACACCTGGTACATCAGTACCATCAGCTGCATGTTCCTGGTACACCTGGTACATCAGTACCATCAGCTCATGTTCCTGAACACCTGGTACATCAGTACCATCAGCTGCATGTTCCTGAACACCTGGTACATCAGTACCATCAGCTCATGTTCCTGAACACCTGGTACATCAGTACCATCAGCTCATGTTCCTGAACACCTGGTACATCAGTACCATCAGCTGCATGTTCCTGGTACACCTGGTACATCAGTACCATCAGCTCATGTTCCTGAACACCTGGTACATCAGTACCATCAGCTTATGTTCCTGAACACCTGGTACATCAGTACCATCAGCTCATGTTCCTGAACACCTGGTACATCAGTACCATCAGCTCATGTTCCTGAACACCTGGTACATCAGTACCATCAGCTCATGTTCCTGAACACCTGGTACATCAGTACCATCAGCTCATGTTCCTGAACACCTGGTACATCAGTACCATCAGCTCATGTTCCTGAACACCTGGTACATCAGTACCATCAGCTCACGTTCCTGAACACCTGGTACATCAGTACCATCAGCTGCATGTTCCTGGTACACCTGGTACATCAGTACCATCAGTTCATGTTCCTGAACACCTGGTACATCAGTACCATCAGCTGCATGTTCCTGAACACCTGGTACATCAGTACCATCAGCTGCATGTTCCTGAACACCTGGTACATCAGTACCATCAGCTCATGTTCCTGAACACCTGGTACATCTGTACCATCAGCTGCATGTTCCTGAACACCTGGTACATCAGTACCATCAGCTGCATGTTCCTGAACACCTGGTACATCAGTACCATCAGCTCATGTTCCTGAACACCTGGTACATCAGTACCATCAGGTCATATTCCTGAACACCTGGTACATCAGTACCATCAGCTGCATGTTCCTGGTACACCTGGTACATCAGTACCATCAGCTGCATGTTCCTGAACACCTGGTACATCAGTACCATCAGCTCATGTTCCTGAACACCTGGTACATCAGTACCATCAGGTCATATTCCTGAACACCTGGTACATCAGTACCATCAGCTGCATGTTCCTGGTACACCTGGTACATCAGTACCATCAGCTCATGTTCCTGAACACCTGGTACATCAGTACCATCAGCTGCATGTTCCTGAACACCTGGTACATCAGTACCATCAGCTCATGTTCCTGAACACCTGGTACATCAGTACCATCAGCTGCATGTTCCTGAACACCTGGTACATCAGTACCATCAGCTGCATGTTCCTGAACACCTGGTACATCAGTACCATCAGCTCATGTTCCTGAACACCTGGTACATCAGTACCATCAGCTGCATGTTCCTGGTACACCTGGTACATCAGTACCATCAGCTCATGTTCCTGAACACCTGGTACATCAGTACCATCAGCTCATGTTCCTGAACACCTGGTACATCAGTACCATCAGCTGCATGTTCCTGGTACACCTGGTACATCAGTACCATCAGCTCATGTTCCTGGTACATCAGTACCATCAGCTCATGTTCCTGAACACCTGGTACATCAGTACCATCAGCTCATGTTCCTGGTACATCAGTACCATCAGCTCATGTTCCTGGTACATCAGTACCATCAGCTGCATGTTCCTGAACACCTGGTACATCAGTACCATCAGCTCATGTTCCTGAACACCTGGTACATCAGTACCATCAGCTGCATGTTCCTGGTACACTGGTACATCAGTACCATCAGCTCATGTTCCTGAACACCTGGTACATCAGTACCATCAGCTCATGTTCCTGAACACCTGGTACATCAGTACCATCAGCTGCATGTTCCTGGTACACCTGGTACATCAGTACCATCAGCTCATGTTCCTGGTACATCAGTACCATCAGCTCATGTTCCTGAACACCTGGTACATCAGTACCATCAGCTCATGTTCCTGGTACATCAGTACCATCAGCTCATGTTCCTGGTACATCAGTACCATCAGCTCATGTTCCTGGTACACATAATCTCAGTGAATCTATTCCTCATTTGTAGGAACCTAAAGAAATCCTCATTTTGAAGTCGATATTTCAACTTCAGAGTTTGAAAATCAGATGTAAGAAGGTTAGGTATAATAATAATAATAATAATAATAATAATAATAATAATAATAATAATAATAATATGAGGTGATATTAGATATTGTTTGTTATAACGATGAGGAAGTGTCATGAACCAGATCTGGTTAACTTTACTCTTTACAAACTTCCAGATGTTTAATGTTTTAACCACGGAGTCATTGGGTCCTCCAGATGGGACTGCAGTGTCTGGCCTGTCATGGCCTGTCATGGTCTGTCATGGTCTGTCATGGCCTGTCATGGCCTGTCAAGGTTTGTCATGGCCTGTCATGGCCTGTCATGGCCTGTCCTGGGCTGTCATGGCCTGTCCTGGCCTGTCATGGCCTGTCATGGTCTGTCATGGCCTGTCAAGGTCTGTCCTGGCCTGTCATGGCCTGTCATGGCCTGTCCTGGGCTGTCATGGCCTGTCCTGGCCTGTCATGGCCTGTCATGGTCTGTCATGGCCTGTCAAGGTCTGTCCTGGCCTGTCATGGCCTGTCATGGTCTGTCATGGCCTGTCATGGACTGTCATGGCCTGTCAAGGTCTGTCATGGCCTGTCATGGCCTGTCATGGCCTGTCATGGCCTGTCATGGCCTGTCAAGGTCTGTCATGGCCTGTCATGGCCTGTCATGGCCTGTCATGGCCGGTCCTGGCCTGTCATGGCCTGTCATGGCCTGTCATGGCCTGTCATGGCCTGTCATGGCCTGTCCTGGCCTGTCATGGCCTGTCCTGGCCTGTCATGGCCTGTGATACTCGGGATACTCCCCCTTTCTCTCCCCATTTGGAGTGTTCTAACCTTTATCCTGTTTTCCTGACCATATGTAACGAGAGATTAGTTTATCCAATTGTGCAAACTGTTTGAGCGGGGGATGGGCAGTGTTTGGAGGATACTGATCTTTACAGATTCTGTCCTGTTCATCAAACCAAGAGGACTCCATCTTGATACGTCTCGTTGTATTTTGGAAATGGTAGATCTGAACTCATAACAACTCCAGATACTTCATGGAGTCCGAGCTCCACTTAAAGTTGTCCTTAGGTCTAAGTTCTTCTGTAGGATCAAAGTA